ATAGAGTAATAATAGATCTGTTTTTTTTAAAGGAAGTATTGCTCTCAATATTTTTTTTCATAATTATAGGACAACAATCTTTATGTCATTCAATTTTAGTTATCAATCACTTGCCACTTCTTATCACACTCCCAAATTCATTAATGTGCTCGGGAAAGCCATATATAATCTCATCAGTCATATTTATAAGAAAGGACTTCATGGTGTAACAAGCTTTTTTAAGGCATTGAATAAAGTGTGTGACAAAAACGCTTTAACACAACATTGTCCATGCAAGTAACTTTCAGGTATGCACAATTCTTACCTTGTATTATTCTCTGTATCTTTTACTAAAATTAAACATGTGATTCCAGCGTCATGGGCTTTATTATTGCTATCAGGAGAAAAAAAAAATAATACAATTAAATAAAATAATGAAATTAATATTTCTGAAGATTTGAATACCAGAAGCAGTAAAGAAAAAAAAAGCAAACAGATGTATTTTAGAGACATAGTCGTTATCCGGTTTTGGCAAAAATTCAAAATTAAATTGTTAACAGTAAAATAATATTAATCATAATATTGAACTTTCCAAGAACCATTCTCATTGGGTTATTGATACTACATTCAATCATCAAATGATAACTATGCATTGTTGGGGGTCAATGCACGAAAGGTCAGAGAAGATAGTCCAGAATATCCAGAATAGTCCAAAATATCCAGAATAGTCCAGAATATCAGGAATAGTCCAAAATATCCAGAATAGTCCAGAATATCAAAATTTTGTTGAATTTTGTAAGGATCATTGAAACAACAATTCCATTATGATTTGTTCACATATGTGTTTTTTTTTTCACTCCATTCTACAATTTCTCCCAACATGTCTGAGAAATTTCTAAAAAAAAGTTTTAATCATTGCAATTACCAGAAAACTGGAAGGAGTTCACGACGACTTGGATTGGAGACAGAATCCAGACACATTATTTTACCATCATATCTGTACACAGAGAAAGATATATTCAATATATGCACAAGTAAAACATTTGACAAACATTGATTTTCCCACAATTCAATGTGCTTTTCTTATAAAATCACGAGTAATGTAAAATCTGTATTAGAAACCGTGGCTTCTATTAAAATGGTACAATACAACACAGGGGATGCGGCTTCTATTAGAGCATATGAGAAATGATGAATTTTGGATTCTCAATTATTCAAAAAGAATGGGTGCGACTTCTATTAAAGAATGCAGCTTTTAATACAGATTTTTCAGTAGCAGTTAGACCTGGATGTAACTTGCACTAATTACCACTGGCGACTAATTAAAGCTTGGTAATTTCTCATTGTATACTTATTAGCGTCAAAGTCAAAAGTCATCATCTTTTTTTTTATATGAGACCCATGTGACGACCAACATCCCTTTTACTATACAATAAGAGCATGACATGGTGAACTAGTCTTACATTATGCAAATGTATTTAAATGTCATATATATGAGCCAATCAAACTTGTACCATGAGAAGTATTAAAACATTCTGTTCATTGATGACTTCATATGCAGCCTGTGTGTAATTCCTTATAGAATTATACAAACCCTGGTGGCTAGATGATCGATAATGCTTATGTTAACAATTAACCTCTCATTAGCTGACTGTGATGGCTTTAACTGGGTGTTTACTACACATTGTAGTTGTCTTGGACAATTTAAAAATTACATAGATTATAGACCAGCACATCACATATTTTCTCTATTATTAGTGAATGCACTTGCGTAAATGTGTCTATGGTAATTCGGTAAGGCATATATAACAATGATCCAACCTAATGCAAATTGGCTCATGTGCACTTCCATGGGAGATATACACTTTTAAACAGACCAATATGTATATACATGTAAAATGCAATACATTCAATGAGAATTTTCATTCAACAATCACCAAATATCACAGTTAGTTGGAATGACCATTAGCATACTCACCCGGCAGAATATATTCGTGATTCGTTACATAGAACACATCGTATTATATCAGTATGCTGGGTCTCTTCGCACTCGATTGCCGACTTCAAATCTATAACATGACCACTTTCTTTATCTGTAAAGTAAGACCAGATTCACACTCATTAATATTCATGAGCTAATTTAATGAAACTGTCGGTCATTATTGTTCGCAAGCTGATTAATATTCATTAGTCATAATTATTCATGACTCATCATCACAAGCTCATTAATATTCACAAGCTCATTAATATTCAAGTTTTGGAAATCCAGATTCAGTTTGGCTGTTTATTTTGACACAGCATTCAACTATATTGAATAGAATAATGTTTTAAAACATCCTTAATGAAATCTGACATTTCAGTTTTGGTAATTGCTGTATTAAAGCTTTTTTTTAAAATAAACTACAATTAAACTACACATACAATACAATAATAGATTTCTAATAAACAACAACTAAATCACACTGAAAATATAGCACAACAATACATTAATTAATTATCATCTTTTCTGTTCTTATTTTGTAGGTTTTCTGTATGTAATTTAATAACCCGAGTAGACATTGTTTGTTAGTTGTGTTTAAAATGTGTATCAATTTATCTTTGTTGTAATTTTTGAAATTTGGATTGGAGAATAGACTTTATAAATCTTGTCTATTTTTCTGTATAGAGATCACACTCAGTGATGAAATGGATTTCATCCTCAATCACGTTACATTTGTCACATTTCCTGTCCTGAATTGTTGTTTTTGGTTTTGTGTGTCTACCCACTTCTATGTACAGTTGGTGGCAGCTAATTCTAAATTTGCCCAACAAAAAATATTTACGAGTTGGTTATTTGGGGGGGGGGGGGCAAAGTTAGGCTTTGAACACTATATGAAGGGCAAAATATCTCGCGATTCTTTAATGAAATATTGGTGGCCATTTGTGAAAATAGGTCAGTGAGTGAAACAATCCATATTTTCTTCAAATTTTGTGTTGAGTCTTTGTATTTTTGTGAAAGGTCATATACATGTAATGTATGCAAGCACTCTCAAGAAGGTTTTGATGGTCATTTGCATATATCTACTTGTCATAAAACGAATCCTCAATTATCAGTGGGGAACCTGAAGGAGATCAGTAATTTTGGTAATAATCAACTTACTTTCGTCTAATTCATATACTTTCAGGGATGCGTTGAAACCACACACTAATTGATGCCGTTTATAATTCATAGATATCGTGTACACAGGTGCACCAAGCTGTAAGCAAAAAAGAACATTTTGAAATAAGTTTGCGAAGGGGAGGTGTTAGATATATAAATACAGTTCCCTTGTTTGAAAAAGAAAGATAACAGCCTTTAGGGAAAAATGATACTCACTCACCATTTTCAAATTTTAAATCGAGAAAGAGGATATCTTTTCTGGTCTTATACAGAAATTGTTATTGGTTTCGTATTGAGAAAATGTATGTTTTGATTAAAGCATCAGTTATTGTACCGTGACATGAAAAACATTATTAGCTTAAAAATGTCATTTTTATGTCTACTGTGGTGCATCTACATTATATTATGTAAGCGAAGCGAAACGAAACGACCACTGACAGAGAGTGTAAAGTACTGTAAAATCTGTATTAGAAACCGCGGCTTCTATTAAAATGGTACAATGCAATAGAGGGGATGAGGCTTCTATTAGAGCATCTACACATATGAGAAATGACGAATTTTTGGTTCTCAATTATTCAAAAAAAATGGGTGCGACTTCTATTAGGGATGCGGCTTCTAATACAGATTTTACGGTAATACCCCTTATAATTGTTTTCTTTGATAAGCGCTGTGTAATATTTACACAGTGATGTTTCGCTCTAGTCTGGTGTTACTGGTAGTGGTTGGTAGAGAAAATAACAGTATTTAATAAAGCCATATTGCAAAGGTCCAATATTGACAAGCTTACAAGTCTTGTTGCTTTTTTGAAAATTTAAATTTTTTTTATTAACAACTAAAAGAATCCTTTAAAATAACAAAAATACGAAATAATATATTGCAAAATCTTCAAAATACCAACAACTTGTATCCCCTATATGCACCTGAGTGACATCCACTAAGTTTCTAATCAGTGAATTCACATAATTATCTGATTATCTACGTTTTTTAGAATACCAAAATTAATCCAATCAGAAATTATAATATTTGCATATTATGCAGATGATGTTTGATAGAAAGAAAACAATCGTTCATTTCATTTTTATATTTTCCATTCACACTTTTATTATTCATTCACTTTACTATAACATTGAGTTGACATTGAAAAGATTAGTCTGCACACTTTCTTGTTGCTTGTAAGTCTAGGATTGGTACGTACCTCCATTTTGTCATGTACACCTCCTCCTGATGCCCAGGCAATTATAGACCCATCATTAGAAGAAGAAAATAATAACTTAGGTTCTGTCCTGAAAACAAAAACAAAAACATCGAAAGTTTACAGTTTTATTGAGTACCTCCTGCTAGGCTCCTTATACTATAGGAATAATGCAGCTGATATGACTGTTTATATTCACATATTAGATACATTGTAGAGGGGTGGCAAGGGTTATTTTCGTTCAACGTAATTGCAATATTTTTTTGTTCGTACAACGTAAATTTGAAGAAATCAATTCCGTAATTCTGTAATCACAGGCTAGACGTACAACGTAATCAATCAAATATTTTTTTCGTACACTGTAAAATTGTCTCATTTTTCTCGGTACGTACAGGAATTTACATCCAAATAAAAAAAGTCGTAAAGAATAATCCAGGGAAATTACATTTTCGAAACTGTAAAACTACTAGATAACACAATTCACTGCAATATTCAGTTTTCACTGTAAACTGTAAAAACATCTTTTTATTCCATGTAAATTGTAAAAAGCCCTTATTATTTCCCGTAAAACGGTACCAGCTACCCCTCCCCCCCTTATTGTAATACTGGAAATGCATTAATTATTCACGGGGTTTTAATTTCACTTTTAAGCAAAATCCTTTAAATTAAATCCACATCAACATGTAAAAATAACATTAGAACTAAATGTTTTGCAAGAAAATTTATGAACTTAAAACCCAGTGAATATGCTCAAAATATCAAAGTAATGAAATAAAATGCAAGTAAAAATAGTCATTTTACAGTATTGGAGGAAGTAAAGACAGTGAAATCTATACGAAAAGTAAAAAGCTGTTTAAGCCAAACAGTAACAACACAATTTAAACAAGTGAAAATGCAATTATTATGCAAATTAGATAATTAATATGCACATATTTCTATAAAAAAATAATCAGGTATGCACGTAATCTCAGAGCATCTATGTACCAAGTTTCATTAAAATCTGATAATTGGTTCTTGAACTATCAGTGTAACAGACACACACATAGTAAATGTTTATGAAACTTAGGATTAGTAAAGGGGGTAAGTTACCGGGGTAGTACACTTATATTAAATTTAATATTAAGTTTAACATACTTTCCACTTTTACTAACCCTAAGCTTTGCAAACTTGATTTAAATTTAATTAAATATTAATATAAATTATGAAAAATAGGTTGTAGGTTGTCACTTGGTAGATATGTCTTTACTTGCTAGGTGTAAAGTTAAATGAAAGTAGTCACCACGTTGATAAAACAAACACACACACACAAAGCACCACCTCCAAGGACTCTCATTGTATATGCTTTGCACCCCAGTAGTAACCATGTTTGCAAACAAGAGTTGAAAACCTGTCTAAATAGCAATAATACAATTAATTGTCCAAATTCTGAATATAAAATACTTCTAAAGACCAAATATTTCTGTAAACTGAATAATTTCTTCTATCTCATTATTTTACAACTACATACACAGTAAATTCATAAGAAAACAACAGGATTCATGCTATACTGCCCTCTATAGTTGAGAATGACATGTTGGATGAGGGCGCACTGTATTTTGGCTTGCATTGATTCAATACAAACACCTGTAAAGTGATAGAAGTAGAGTGTACTGTAATTGTAACAGAAAACGAAAGTGATACACTCGTTAATTATTCACTGGGTTTTGATTTTTCCTTTTTTTTGGAGATACGCGAATTCGATCACTGGTAAGTGTAGTGGTTATTAGATCGTACTAATAACTTATAGACCAGAGTTCAACCCAACCCTGGAAAGGCTAAATTCACTTGCTGAAATTCATTCACAAATGGATGTGACTTAACTTTAGGTTAGGTTCGCCAGGCCTGCCATTATAATAGGTAGATCGTCACAACATAGCCCAGTCACATAGTAATGCAACGTATGTTAGCTCAACAAATGAAACAAATCTAATTTAAATCTATGTGAAAAATTAACATTACAATTGATCTTCAGGTCTCTAAATTCCTGGAGACAATGAAGTCAATTGTTTAGATGTCCCAATTGAATGCCCGGGTGCCCTTCAGATTAATCAAATATTTGTATCACAAGTCAATCACTTCAAGGCATTTTTAGACATTTTTAGCCATGAAATTTATAGGTGTTCTCAGCAGAATACTTCATGCGCTCAAACTAATTATTAAACTGGAAACAACTGGAGTTTAAAACCCAGTAAATATACACAAAATTTTAAAACAGTGATATTAATTACTAGTGAAAAACAAATGCTGTACAATTAAGATACAATGTACAGGTCATAAGATATAATTCGTTCACATGTGCACTTATTTTAGTGCATATCTGTCTACAATTATTTGTTAACAGTTTTTGGTTCACTGTTAACTTGTTTTTGAGAAAAAATTGTAAAATAATAAGCATAAAATGCCATTTTAGCAGTGGTTTCCATAGACCACAATGAAAAAACTTTTCCATGATAAAAACCCACAAAAAAATATTTGATATATCAAAAAGCATCTTGTAAGACATAATGGTATATCTTTTCTTCACCATGTCACCCAGGCAAATTTTTAGATATTGAGATATATTCGTTCCATATATAACAATGGTAAAATGTCCCAAAACAGACAAAACATCATATATACATCGTTTTTTTCTTCGAACCGAATACGATGACCCCAGGTTTTTATTCCATTTCCTTTCATCCTCATGATATGAAATAGCAAATATGTACAAATGAAGAAATTGACAACATTTATACTTCTGTGTACATAGCATTCAACCTTCAAGAGAAATTTGACAATCCCAGGGAATACCCCATAGAATTGAACAGGACAGAAGCTTACGGTTTATTCAATGAAATGTATATATCAGCATGGACAGACAATGACAGAGAAAACATGTAGACAAGTTTCATAAACTGTAGACATTGACATCAATGTAATTTAATACATCACAACAAAATTTCAACATCACCCAGTTTATGCTGGCATTTAGTGACATTATCATGCTAAACCGAAATCTGGGTGTCTATGGAAACGAACATGGCCCTGTCAGTTTTCTAAATCTGAATCAATCAGTGAACTCTCATGGTTACACAGCAAAATCCAGCAGAAAACAAATTCAATGTAGCATAACAATTATTAATGGTTTTCAAGAAGAGTGAAAAGAAACATAAGCAAAGTAATAGTTGTATTTTAGTAAGACTGGAAGAAGTGAATTCACCTTAATCCAAGTGTTCTTGAAAGGGTAGCTGTCAATCCCTTGGATTACATCATGGGACACTAATTTTTATGGACTGGATTATGTACGGCTTTTACACACTGATGTCATACAATGTATGATGGAAGAACCCATGCACAAAGTTGATAAGACAAACGTACACACACATGGATGCACTAACCCCCAATATATCAGTCTAATACAAACAGCAACAACACAATTTTTTGTCCATTCTCTGTATATAAAAGACTACTACAGACTACTATGGTAAACCGAATAATTTTGTCAATCGCATCATTTTTCAGTTGAGACATAATGCATAAAAGTTATGCAGCAAACACTCAAAGTACAACTACACAAGTCTAGTCTACTCATACGAGTAAGAAAATAACAAGATTCACCCTATTCTGCCCTATATATATAGTTGAGAAAGACAGGAGCCAACGCTTGCAAGTCATATGACAGTAGTGGGTAAAAATCATATCGAGTCCATAAAGTATTTATCATAAACACGTACCTTATAGGGTTCATTAAAAATAAATGAAATTGTTTTTGAGATGCTGGTGTTTAATTTATATTTGGTCGCACTCACTGCTATTGCAAATCTTTTGAACAATTAAGAACCCCTTCTAAAACCGTGATCACAATGAATGTGGTTAGACTTAAGCCCTAAATATTATCTGTGATAGATAGCTAGTTATTACTATGTATGAATGCTTTATAAAGGCAAGTTTTACAATACAACTACAGAATCAAAACAAAATAGCTATGAATTTTATCTCCGGCAACGTGATGTACTAGTATATGGCTAAAACTAGTTATGAATGGGCCCTGCTTTAAATCTATATATGGAATAAGTTTGTCCAAATATGGTCAAACAGGGCCAGGATATGCAAATTTATTGCATGGCTCACTCATCAGGTTTCTCGTAGATTTAAAGAAATTTACATGACTGGGCAATACAAGGTACTAGTATATGATGACATTGTCCATGTCATTTGTTCTACTAGCATGCCAGTCATTTCTAAACTGTGAGAGTGGTTTATAAAGAAGCTTTCATACCTTAGGATTACACCATTGCATTGTGGGAGATTCTTATCTTAGACTTTACAGAAAACAAACAGCACATGTACAAATCCAAGATTATCCCGATAAGAAAGCTTTCACCTTCTGACGTTTTAGAGAAAGAAAAATCCTCACAATCAAACAAAGCTCTCAGACAACAATCCACAAAAAGAGTTTGAGAACAATACCAAATAAACTAAGATTAATGTTAGTTGATTTGTCCAGTAAGTTAAAAATACCATATACTGGCATAACTCGTTTTTGCAGCTCAGCAATGTGACAAAAAATCTGTCCCGTGTATTACCTCAGGGGTGTTTGTAAGCTGTAAATCAATCTACTTACGTCTGAGTGAAGTTGTTTATTACTTTTAGTGAAAAGATCACAGACAATTAAAACCAAGAGTTTAACTTGCATACATGTCGAAGAGCTATATAGATAGCATGGCGTGTTTTCAATGCTTTGCGTTGTCTGTCCATGCGTGTATGGTTTCATTGTTTGTCAGAAGACGTACACGCCTTATTTTCAATTGCCTGCACTGATCACCTGGTATAAATTATGAAGTCATTTGTACGGTACGTACACCGAGTTCATGCATTCCTATAGGTATTTTGCTTTGGGGCTATTATGTGAAATATTTGGCGGATTAAATTTGTGCAAATCGCTGGAAATGTGTAATAAACATTCAAATTTCAACGATTTTTTTGTTATTGAAACTTTTGAATAGTTTTCGAACATGCAAGGATTCACAATGATTGGTTTCTGTGTGGCTGACAAAAATTCTTAATAATAACAGGTTATTGCAACGATACTGCAAAGTATACACACAGACAGTATCACAGGAGTATCGACCGACAAGCAGTGGAGGTCGTTGTGACGGCGTACTGTCTGCATACTTTGCAGTATTTTCATAATAACCTTATTATTATACATCTTTTTCTTCCAGGAATACATCATGAATCAGTGAACATCTTTGTGTGGAGTTCGGTCAAACACTGGGGCAGCCATGTTTGTTTTTATTATTAGAGGACGCTTGTGAGCTTAATCATTTCATATTTGGAATTCGCATTTCCTAATATGGTAGGATGAAAATATGGTCATCAAATTTATTTTCGCACAAGACCTAGGACAAATTTCTATGGAAATGGTGATTTTTTTATTTTATTTACCATTGGTTTTTATATTAAAACCATATCACAAAATTGTGTGGAAAAAATATACATTATGTTTGTGATGAATTATTTGAAAATTTTGATACATACTACCGGGTAGTTATTTTTTATGAAATAATGCTTCAACATAGATACCCATTTTCCAAAAAAAGTAATGTTTTGCATTTTTTCAAAACAATAACTCATACTAACAAAAACATTTGAAAAGATAATAAAATGTTCTAATCAATAACTATGTAACACTTGGGAAAAAATTATTATAATTATTTTTTTCACCCCTACTTTACCTTCTAGGCCATGATAAAGCAAAGATTAACAGTTTTCTTCAGATTGAAAAACAGTATGTATTAACACATTGCCTGACATCATTGTTTTCCCTTTCATTTCAGCCATTTATGTAGGCTTTCACCAGGTTGTATATATAATGCACCGTTTGAAAAATAGTTCTCTGAGGAAACTCGATTAATTTGAATTAAACAATCTGATTCACACTCCTGCTTGGAAATACATTATATTAAATGATATAGAACTTTCATTTCTTGAAAAAATTGTCTGTTGATTGCAGCCACTGTAGTTTTCTATTTTTTGCTGCAGAAATATAGGTTCTATAATTTGTGCATTTTTCTCTATTTTTGATAATTTGATGCGAATAATTAAATAATAAAAAAGAATGAAAACGGTGATATGCATTCTTTGAATAGTTCCAAACCTTATAATGTAATGTTGAAAAAAAAATTCAAGTTTATTTAATAAAATTGTAATCGTGTTTTTTCAACTACTAACAGATAAGGACCCCCACCCTCAATATATATATGTTTCTGATTGCTGTGCAAGTCAGGAAACAAAAAGATGTGTCTCAATTTCTTTTTTTTTTTGTCAGAAAAACAAATCTGAAAATTAACGAAAAATGCCAGAATCAAAATAAAAAGCTTTTAGAAAACAAATTGACAATAAACATTTTGTTTGACCTAATTTGTTCATTAGAGTCCATTACCGAGTATGCAGGATATTCCCTAAAATACAACAACTAGCTAAATTGATAACCATTCAGTTAAAAAGCAGATTAAAAATTTAAATTCAGCCAATTCATTCCTTTTCATAAAAAAATAAAAAGAAAGGTTCAAAGAGGGTTCAAACAAACATAATGAACTGCCCATTGCCACTTGATCTGCCCTCATGTTGTGAAAGAAACAACTTTTTCTAAAATCAGGATGAAGGTAATTTCATCCTTCACATTATTCACCTCGGTAAGCCATTTGAATTCTAAGAAAACTTTACAGTTGATAACAACCCCAATTTATTCACAATTATCACAAACAAAAAGACAGTCAATTTTCATAATGAATTAATAACGATTTAAGGCTGAACAATCAGGGAAGTGCATAACATTGTAACAAGAAACACAAGAAACAACAGGAGAATTATCAGTTTTCAAAGACAAACCATTCAATACCAGTTACCATGACAACCACCACAAACTAATGAACCATGTCTATTCAAGATACACGCTTCACCAAAGCGAATTGAAAACGAGCAATTATAAGGAAAGAGATTTCACCTACCGGATATTCTGTAAAATAGCTAAAAGCTCTTTAAAATGATCAGATTTTAGTATTAAACTTTCTCTCTGTGCAACAAAAGTGTGGACACCAATGACTGACAAAGTGTTTTTCAATTAACATTTTTCTTATACCACATCACGACAGGTGTTTTGCATAAATTGATCATTATTGGTAATTGGGATAGATCCTGCGTGCATGTATTTTGTGAGTACAGTAGGGCATACTGTAAAATACTTTATTTTCGCTTGGAATTAATTTTTGCTATTTTCGATGACAGGATGATTCAGTGAAAATAAAATCGAGCAAATATACCATTTTTCCTATATTTTATATTCAACTCACCAAGATCAGTGAAAAATAATTTTCATACAACATCCAAAAAGTCTTTTCAGCAAAAATTAATTTTAATAGCCCTTCAAGAGTCTCCAACATTGATTTAATTTTATAGTAGGTATAGTATTTTTGTCGTAATGGACATTCCTAGGAATTCAATGTCAATGTCACATGGCCACTAAGTTAAGGAGCAGTGGTCATTTCGCTACTGATGTGTGAGATATGGGTCTTATATTAAGATGGTGACCTTGATTGATGTACAGATCTTTTATGAATGAAAAAAGAAAGTTTTAATTTTTGGCAGTTCCTGGAATGATTGGAAAGCAACAATGGATTCTAAGAAGTCAAAGACGGTATTTAGTGTACATTACGACCAGATACTTGCACTCATGCTTGCCATGCATGTGGGCATTTGGTTGTGGGAAAATCTCTGTTTTAACTACACAACGAGCACTGGCCTTCAAACCAACCATTAGTGATAGGCTTTTATTGTAGTGATCTTGGAGACCTCAAAAGGGCTCATACCACTAATTTAGTTTCCATAGACGAAAATGTTAACATATGACGAGATTGCTATATGAAAATGACGAAGAAAGTTGAAAATATGGCTCAAAAATGGGAAATCAACATGCCAGTAATCAAGCATATGAAAAAAACTAACATGTTGGCCAGCTCAAACTCTTGCAAATCTCAGGTAAACAAGACACACCTACTGTATTTGGATTGCACCAAGAGAAATCACTGGAAAAACACCAAGATTAGAACATCCATTAACACACAGAATAAACCCACAGGTACACAGCCGCTAAGTAGTAAACAAAAGACCACATGTTGGTCTCACCTCTGACCCAGGTGATTACGCCCTCAAACAGGGAGCACCTGAGAAAAATAATATTTAAAAAATTTCATTGGTTCTTGCTAGGCATTTAAATTGAGGGCTACGAGCAGCCATTGGTTAATTAGTGGCATGAGACCAAAACATGCATAGATACTACCAATGTTTCCTCTGTCACGATTTCAACTATAAGCCAAGGGTGGACAAATTCCCCTATTTTTCTCAGGTTGAACTATTACCAAATAATGACACAAATGTATGGGATAATATACTTTACTTTCATTTATAGTACTTGTAACTAAATCAAAATACATTTAAATCTGTTTGTAATATTTTATATTTAACTTGTGCCATACATAACACCTCTAAGCCTTATTTTCGCTCAATTTTCTCAGATTCAGTTGTAGTTTCTCAGTGAAATTTTTTCTTTTGAAAACTTTCTATGCATTTTGTATGCAGAAAAAACATTTCAAGGGGAAAATGGGCAAATTTTCACAGTATTTTCAAGATTCAAAAAAATTCAAGGGAACAGTGGATACCGAGCGACATTGGTAGCATGAATTTCCACACCTGATCCTGGAGTTCGATACATGCCAATCACCAAAAAATATACCTATAGTTAAAGTTTTGCAATGTGTCAGTTTGTACTTGTTGGTCTGGGCAACAGTCAAAATCGCCATCTTTGTTTATATGAGACCCATGTTATGCGCATGAATGGTCGGATAACATCCACTCTTTAATTGTTGGTAAATTGTTAACTCACCAATACAAGAAATCAGTGACCCAGCCTTGGTGTTCATGAGAAGACATCACAGGTAAACTACTCTCCGCTTCCCAAGTTTTTATGAAACCATCTACAAAATAAAAATAAAAATAAGTTGTAATAATATAATGACAGGAGCAATTCAACCAATTCTCAAATGATGATAATGTTGACTATATACTGTATTATCACCTGCATAAGGTGTTGTAAAACAGAACAGATTGTAATCACATACTTGAAGGTTAACTAGAACCGCAAAGTTTACATACGATCCGATAACTACGAATTGTGGTAAAAACGTTTTTATTTTGGTACACTCATGTGTATGTTTTTGGATATACTATTTCTCTCTGGAAAATCGGTTTTAAAAAAAAAAAATCACAGTAATTAGAGCGAATATTAGAAACAGCAGAATTGCTATACAGCTCGCACGAGGCGGAGACGAAAAATTGAAATATGTGGAGTCCACATAATTAGCATACGAGATGCATGCAAGGATATATGTGTGCATTTGGTGTTATTGCAGCAATAGTTCCACTGTTAAAACTCCAACGTTTTATTTTTCCGCACTGTGGAAATATGCATATAATAAATATATAACCCCATGATATTTTCTTTTAGGTTGACGTCAGCAGACGCATGTGATTACTGCCAGAGTATCATTAAAACTCAACTGTTGCTCAAATTGATACAAAACTTTAGTGATAATAAGTCATCTCAGCTGATACAATACAAGTCATTGTCTATGACAAATACTGTGGAATACTTTATTTTCGCTGGAATTAATTTTCGCTGAAAAGGCTTTTTGGGCGTTTTGTATGGAATTTATTTTCACTGTTTTTTGATGAGTTTAATGTGAAATATAGGAAAAAAAAGTATATTCGCTGGATTTTATTTTCCTGGAATCATCCCTTCAGCGAAAATAGCGAAAATAAATTCCAAGCGAAAATAAAGTACTAGTATTTTACAGTATGTCCATGTCCTAGTTTTCATTGACTGTTATCATTAGTGTTAAATAATTATATACACTCAAGTGACAGACATAATACAAGTTTTTTGTGTGATTCTGCCAATCTGAATCAGATTTTGAAACAGATCATGCATGTGCAAATGTGTTATATTGTATGTGTAAATTTTGAACGAGTTAGCAATATGGCTCTAAAAACAACATTTGTTAAAAACAGAATCGCCATCAGTCAGCTAATTTTAATCAAATGATAAAAAATATGTGCAACAAGAACCCATTATGCTTAATAGGAATTACATGAGTGTTTGTTCGATATGAAGACATGTGTACATGTATGTGTGATGAAATTAATACAGTTACAGGCACATGGGACCCATATCAATTACGGTGATTTCAAAAATAGAAAAGTGTCTAATAAATGGTTAGACCATTACACTTTATATCTCCCCTCCCCCTGATGAGTTTCAATCTTTGCTTCAAAGAATTAGCAATATGGCTCCAAAAACAGCATTTGATAAAAAAAAAAAAATGGCCACTAGTCAGCCATTTAGAATCAAATGAAAAAAATGTGCATCAATGACCCATTATGTTTAATCAAAGACATAGAAAAGATCTTTTCTCTTTGGCTTTATGGATATACCAAGTTTTATTAAAGGGCCAGGTATACTATAAATACGCTCCTAAACAATGGGGATCATTTCCTTGCTTGTCACAATGTAGTAAGCAGCTCCAGCCAAGCTCCGGTAAAGACATGTTTTCTCAAACTGACAGGTCAATTATGTTGTGCCAAAGTGGATGCATGTGACTATGAATACCACAGCAGTGACTGTGTGTAGTATTTATGACAATAAATAATGTACGAGCTGAGATTTTGGCGGATAAAAGTCAAAAACACGAACCGGGGAAAGGGACGTGCTACTAATCTTGAATAATTAACTACTGTCAATCAAAGTCACGTGATGTTGGACCGCTGAAACAGGATGCGTCATAGGCTATGCAAATGTTTAACAACACTCATTAGCATAGCCACACCTCCAATTCACACTTGCCCAGGGCAAGTGAATTGGGCCTTTAAGCTTTACTTCGAATCAGTATTTTACCAAAATAGAGTAGAAATCCTAGTTATCAATGAAACTCCTTCATACATGGAATGCTTTCCTGGTCTTTGTCTTCATACATAAGCAATAAGAAATCAAGAGTTCTTTTCTGTCATTCAATGTCAGAAATCCAACAAGCCTTGAGTGGAAGGGGGGTGTGGAGATAAAAGGTGGAATAGCACAAATATGCACTTTCAACATAGCAAATAAGGTACAGTTGCTTCAGTGCGTTGGAACAGCATATATGTAGAACACTTTTAATGTACACTATATCACTTACATAGAAAGTTCAGAGATCATATTAACAATGGTGGGGACATGTGATCATGGGAAAGTGCATTCCACAGTTTGTATAACCTAGTGGCATGTAGAGAGTGGAAAACTGCACCTGTACATTAGTGGGCATATTTTACGCCAGTTGAATCAAGCACTGATAGGAGCAGACTGTCCAGTCGGAAGAGACGGATAATTTAATCAGACAATAGCGTAAGCTGAACAAACAATAGCGCCGTTTTCAAAACAAAATAAATGTCTTTGAAAGGCAAGCAGTGGATATAATGTGCGTGTGCTGGTTCGGGAAATGTTATTTTCACTTGACAAAACAAAACCAATATTCACCGAGTACCGCAACCATCAACACCTTTTAAAACGGCAAGGTCAAAGGTCAATCTTTTCACCTTTTACAAAACAAACTGACATAACCCGCAGCTTTTTCCACATTTTTGATAAATTTTTTTTCAACATTTTTGAAATGTTATGTCAATTTGGTCCAAAGTTAACAAATAAATTATGTAAAAATATGCAAATATCAAGTTTTCGGTAGGAAATAAATACACCGTTCAAAGGGTTAAACCAATCAGAATGCAGGTATTATGATATTATTTTCGAAAGTATATTTTTACAAGCGAGAAAAATTGCAACTTATGATTTTAGCAATGAAAATCTACTCTAGGCGCAACAAAGGCATTCCATTTATCTTCTCAAATATTTATAAACTGCACAGTTCAAACTGAAAGAAGAGGTTTCTAACGGCCATTCGAGTAAAATTGAAACGTTTTCAAATGACGTTGATGTGCACTGTGCTTGTTGATTGGCTGGTTTGGTTCAACTAACACTGAAATTTATAAATATTTATGAGGATGAAGATGAAGAAAATGTCTTTGTTGCACCAAGAGTGTGCAATTTTATAAACATTAATAAACAAAAGTATCCATTGTTATAACGGGCAGATTTTCAATGCAAACTTAGAAAATCGGCATTAGACGACCGTCCCGTTATATTTTCAATAAATCATTCTTTCCATATATAATATCGCAGAGAGCAGGAAAAACAGCAAGATTGGAAACTAACAAGTATAAACAAATATATACAAACAAAGCTGACCTATGACCCCTGCCAAAGAGTAATCGAATGATAAACTATTAAACACCCTAGATACTGATATGACCTTTGACCCCACCAGTGTTACACCGGGGTAACCGATCAATACAATCTCTTGGCAACTTTAAATGGTTTCCATCTGTATTTGTATCTTTTCTAAAACAACAGAAAAAATAAAAGAACAAAGAGATTTCAGTGGTGATTGTTATGCCAATTCATGAATGTTCGCAATCATAAAATTCAATAGACTGAAAAATGAGCATGCTTTCTATCTCAAGCACCGTGAAGTATTTCCACCATGTTTATTGACACTTTACACCGACTATCTATTGATAATATTCATATAAATCATTATCGTAACCTTTTGAACACCAAAATGTAATTGCAACATTTTGAATGTTTTTAAGAACTTTTCTATAATTTCTTCGTTAATTTTGGACCAAATGAACATTATTTCTTATTTGCTGAAGGAGTTAATCAAAATTGTTGAAGAATCTGAAATATGGGAAAAAAATTATATTTTGTGTTAAGAGTAGAAAGTAGTCCTTGGCATACAAGGGGATAATTACAATGTGCAATCTTGTCTTATTATTGTAAAGGGATTAATTATTCACTGAGTTTTAATTTTACTTATTTTGCTGACTGGAAAATGCGCTAAATTATTAAAACCCAGTGAATACTGTAGAATACTTTATTTTCACTTGGAATTTATTTTCGCTATTTTCGCTGAAGGGATGATTCCGTGAAAATAAAATCCAGCGAATATACTTTTTTTCCTATATTTCACATGAAACTCATCAAAAATCAGTGAAAATAAATTCCACACAAAACGCCCAAAAAGCCTTTTCAGCGAAAATTAATTCCAGCGAAAATAAAGTATTCCATAGTATGTAAAATTTAGCATAGAACACATTATCTAAATGTTAAATCAGTGAAACTTAAACCCACTGAAAATTAGTCAGTTAACAGTATTCAGAGGGAAATTAAAACAGAAAATGAAAATATTTTGTTGGTGGTTACTATGTCGTGAGAATTCTATGCCTACCATATAAAGTACTATATAGGGCTTAATTATTCACTGGGTTTTATTTTTGCTTATTTCGATGATTATTTATTTCTGTTGCAAGCCAGTGAATCTAAAACCTAGCTCTGCAACATAAAATCCACTAAAATTTTAACATGTGTCAGTGTTTACAGTACAAGTCCCTGTCAATGACATAGTCCCTGTTTGTTTTATAGACGTGAGATATAGAACATACATGTATTGTGTGAAGTTGGAACTTGATTGGTCCAGGCATGTATCAGATATGGCTCTGTGGAACTGCATTTGTGAAAACAAGATGGCCACCAGTCAGCCATTTTGGATTTCATGATGACAAATATACTTGTGTGTTTATCCGACATGATGACTGATGTATTTGTGATGTTGATCTTGATCGACCCAAGATTTAGCTCAAATGGGAACTAAAAATGAAATTCTTATTCTGTTGTTTCATCATACTAAAAGATCCGATCTACCGAGTGTCTACTTTTTCTAATTAGTTCATTGACCTTTAATGGCACAGTCATCATACAATGCATATTGGAATTTTATTTTTTAAAGGCACAGTCCTTGTACATCGCATATTGAAATTTTATTTTTAAAGGCTCAGTCGTTATACACCGCATATTGGAATTTTATTTTTAAATGCTCAACCATCACACACTGCATACATGTATTGTTATGTTATACCCGTACTACTGTTTATGTCACATGGAATAAGTTTTGTAAACTACCCAGAATAAATGATTGTGACATTTTTAGGATGTGTTTACAGTTTCCTAAAAACATTTTTTTTTACACTGGAAGAATATACAATCATTAGCTAATAGGCGATAATAAAACATGGGGTCAACGACTTTGTTGTTTAGAAAATTGTTTATTACTTTACAGTCAGTCTTTACTGCGGGGAAAAAGTAAAAATAGAAAAAAAAGCATTGTAATTTTTTTGCAACTCTGAATGAGTAGGTGTGTGGAGAACAACATTTTTCAGAAATGAAAATAACAGGTCACATATCTTTTTGAAAGGTATTCACATGTCTGTGTGCAGTAGAATGTTTTCTCATGTGAAACCACTTCTGCTTGTTTGTGGTGTAAAACTAACCATACTCAAGTACATTCGAACAATTCAAGAAAATATAGAAATTTTCTAACATTTTGCACGGAGTTAATGAGTACATATGAAAAATAAATATAAAACATTAAGTTTCTTCCATTTGACATTATGCTCATGCTCATATGAGCCTACAGGTATACTCACACTAGTAGGGATTGTGTACGTATGATATCATAAAGGAGAATTGAATATCTTTAGTTTCAATGCTGGTGTTCAATAATCTGTATACATGTCTGGGGGGGGGGGCTTTAAATCTAGTTAATGTAAAACCATTTAATTTCACTATTTAGACCATATTCACTGAGTTTACGATTTTATCAGGGAAACAATGAGTTCTATTGTTCTTTTACATGTTCACAGATATAATTTAGCAGATTTTATTTATTAGTGAAAATAGTGAAATCGAAACCCAGCAAATAATTAATGTATGAAAAGCAATCAACTCATATTCAAAATTGATATACTGTTCATTTCAGTGTTTATTTTCAAAACAAATTCAATACACTTCATTATTTCAAGCATTATTATATAGAGCAAGAAACTGCAGATTTTTGTTTTCCTTGGCCTCAGATTTGTGTAGGATTTTATGATCTTGACAAAATTATTATCTAATCAATATGGAACCTTGACAAGATGAAGTGATTTGTTTTTTTAAGCAAGGACTTCTTTTGAAATAGCTGAAAAAGAAGAGTAATGTATATTCACTGTTACTCTATAAATCTTACTCGCACAATGCTGTTGACCTCCCTATACAAAGCTAAAGACAATTCTTGTAATTGTTAAGGTCATGTCAGTTATTCCCTGTCATTGACACCCCCCCTCTTGGTTTATTGCTTGATCAACCATGCATTAGAGTATGCTATTACTGGTGAAATAGTTACATGTCTTTTTAGTAAATTTGGCTTGATGCACATTTAATGGAATCTTAATTTAGCTAAAGTGCCAACAATCTCATTATGAAAATATATTTTATTTTAAATTAATGACATTTTGAATTAGCAAAATTACAGATTCTAGTTCAAATAACATACATGTATATGCTAAAAAGATATATTTCACAGTACTTTTTACAAATATTTTTCGACAGTATAAATTTGTCAACAGTATTCTAGGCTTTAAAATACTCAGATAGCTTTAAAATTTCTGGGAAGTCTTTTACAGTTTGAGTTAGATACAATAGCAGATCATAAATTCAATATCTGAAAATAGCTAGCCCAACAAAATACCTCTCTCTGAAAACTCTTGTATAATTCAAAAATCTAATTTTTAATACAGAACAAATCATAAAATAATTATAGAAAAAATGTAAAACTGAAACAATAGAGACCTTTATTTTTTTCACTCACCATATTATATCTTCAAATAATAATTAAGTCAAAAAATTCTATTCAATAATGGCAAAAGCCGAAAAAAAGGGGAAAGCTACTCAATTAAATCTGCTCGCTTAAACACATGAATATCTTTAAAAATAAATTCTGTTGAGAGATATGAAGAAATCAAAACTATATATATATATACATTGTATATATATATATATATATATATATATAGTATATATATAATATATATATGTAGTATATATAGTACCCCCCAATTTCTAATGGTCAATCCCTCAGGGGAGTACCATTAGCAACAATGCAGAAGGGGATGGTAGGAAAACTGCAAATATTTTTTTTTATAGGCTTTGTATTAAGGATTGAGCTAATTTTTTTTTCACGATGATGTTACAAGAAAACATTTTATTATTCCTATATCAAATGTGTGTTTGATTTTTTTTTCCTTCCGATTTTTTTTTAATGAAATTTGCCATCGAATCCCACACCCCGAATTTCTTAGTCTACCTTTTGAGTATAAAATCTCATATGTTGATATCGTCAACTTGAAGTTCAAGTGTGACGTACCTCACAACGGAATGTCAACTGCCGGTGTTACAAAGCACAGTCCCTATAGAGGGACTGTGTACAAAGTAAACTAAAAAAAAACAAAAACTAAAACGAACAAATACTCAGCAATCATTGCGGCCACATGCGTAATTTAGAAGTACTGTCGCGGCTGGGGTAACCACTATTGTGTTGAAGTGATATTCGTGTCAACAACGACTAGCAACTTTCCCTGGAACTTTTCACCCGTGTTTCTGACTGAGGTTGAGCGAAGTTCCGCGCGAAAAAAAAAATCTAAACTTATACGACGACTTTCTCAATAATGGTTTCCCACTTTGCAAACCGATTGCGACTGGTTCCAGGAGTCGCCAAATAATTTCAGACGTTCGCTAACAGTGGAGCACACGCTTAGTAGTATTTATAGTTTATGGCTAAACCAAACTCGTCGAATCAGTGTTGACAGGGCCCCCACTGACTCGCATTCACGTACCTTCGCACCCAGCAAGAATTTCACGTCTCAGCGGATGGTACCCCAATGCCGTGATTGCTCTGGAATGGGTATCCTTAATCGTGTACTGCTTTTCCATAGCCATCTTGGCTGATTCTTGTGGCACAGACCGTCTATGTGACTATTTCCTCTACTGTTTGACGCTCGACTGAGCTCAACGAGTTCACGCTTCCGCCATCTTGCCCTTGGTCACTATGGAGATTTGTAACCCGACGCGCACCAATTTAGGAATGGGACGTTGTTGGGGGCGCTATACGTCTTGGACGGTGTCCTGATTATTTGGAGGAAACGTCACAAAATTAAATTCAACATTTAGAATACATTATAACGTTTTAATTAGTATTAATTAGTCTTAATTAACCTTATGACTGACTTTTCGCGTGTGCGTGTTTGTCCGTAAACAATATTCCAAACCTCACATTTCTGAATATGGTGTCACCGATTCAAAATTAATATTATGAGTAAAAATCAGTTGTATCAAATAAATAAATCCAAATATATTGATATAGTTTGGTTATATATTGAATAAATAAATTTACAACTTGGATCCGTGTAAAACTGTGTTTTTAATTTCATGTTTCCTTCACACTGACTCTAGTTTACAAGTCACGGTATTTATTTATTTGTCTGTTTATCTACTTATTTACACACCGTGACACTGGAACTGTTACTACAACATTTGACACACCGTGTTAAGGTAGAGATGCAGGTTGGGAGACTATATTTCTAATTGCCTCTAATTACTGTAATTACATGAGTAAAATATACTTTTTACCAATCAAGTTATATATCATTCGAAAGAGTTTTATTTAAACTTTTGAGTTTTATGGTTTACAATAATGTACTATGATACCATATTAAGTGGTGTTGATTTTGGGTTAAAATCATGCATTTTAGTGAAAGTGCACTTAAAACTATTTAACTTTTGAATGCATACCCTGATTTTAATTTAAGAACACTTA